AGCTCAGCCTGGATCTCTACCAGGGCACCGGCTCCCTGACGCAGGTCCCTCTGGATAAGTGGGTAAGAGATGCCGGCCCTTCCCCCCCTCGGCTGCTGCTGCGCCCGAGGGACCAGCTGATTCCCTGCCCCCCCTGCCGCCCACTCTGTCTTCAGTACCCAGCTTCCTTTACGTGAAAAGTTACAGCCGTCGTTAGCATTTTATCCAGGGAACTCTTCTCTTGATATTCTAGGGATTAAAGAAAAAACGAAAATCTGGGCATTTCCTATGGAGATGTTTTCCTAGCCACATTTTGGTTTCGTTATTTTCAATTACGAGAAAGGAAACAAAAACTAAAGGAAGACAATAGCTGCTGGTATTTCAGGGAGAAGGACCTAGTGTAGACCAAACTGCTAGAAATTGTTGCATGTTTACTATTACTAGAGATGATAAAAGCATAAAGTAATCCCTGTTCTATCTATGCTTTGACTTCATGTTGGAGGCATCTTGGTTCTTACTGACCATGTTATGCTGAGCTTAGTCCGTGTAGATCTCTGAAATTGTCCCCTGGTCTTGCAGTGGTGAAAGTACTTGTTGACAGATGGAAAGCTGTTTTTAGCTGGAGTTTGCTTAGCAGGTGGGCTGTCACGCTTTGAACCAGCTGAACCTTTTTTCCAGTCTTCACGTGTATGTTTTCATGTAGAGAACATGTGTGTGCGTGTGTATGTGGCTATACACACACACGTATGCACACTTCTAGTCTACTCTAATAATCCAAAAGTCTGTGTCTGTAACATTTTAAAAGTTTCTTGGGTTAATTATCAGTGCTACTGATTTCTACCTGCCAGTCAAATGATTGTCGTGAGGATCCTGTTGTGTGTCAGTCACTGACTTGCAGGGTAGCACAGATGATGAACTAGGTACCCAGGCTTATTGCTTTACAGAGTACTTTCAAAATACATGTTTACTATATTATGTTCTGCTATTAGGCCACGCTGGGTACACTTTAGAATAGTTATGACTATGTGATGTTTTCCGATAATGCTTTTTCAGTTGTTTGTGTGAAAATATGTGTGAAAGTGGCAGGCGAGAGACATTTGGAGAAATGCTCAATATTACCAGTGTTTTAGTGTATGTTTTTTTTCTGTTCTTTGCTTATTTGTTTTCTTCTGTTCTTTTCTGGTTGTGTCTGCAGCTTGTTTTCTGTGGCAGACAGGAAGGCTGTCTCCCTTTAATTGAATTGTTGTGCCCTCTACTGGGTATCGCAGCGCTCATCACTCGCCAAAGTGACATTATTTAAAATGTAAATACTTTGAAATAGCAGCAGTTATGGACCAGTACTAAATAAGCAGTTAATTATGTATGCACAGTGCCTAAATGTATATAGAATAATACTGCGGTTCTCTTCCCCGTTTGTAGATCAGCTTTTTTATTTTTCACTTGTAAACAATGACATGTTTGAGGTTCTCTGCACGTGACTTTCTCATGTATGACAGATTGCAAAAACAGATGTTGCGGAAGTACTACAGCTTTTTTTTTTTCCCCCTAATCATTGTAACCTTGTTCTTTATGAATCACCAGGATGACTGTATTTTTTGCCCATTATCTTACCCATTTTTGTGGATACTTCTGTTCATCTTAACATTGTAGATATTTTAGCTGACACAGTATGTGTTTAGAGATTATAGAGATATGTAGGAATACCCGGGGTTATTAGTATAACTCCCTTTGCCTTTTGGGACCTGGGCTGTTTAGAAAAATCAAAATGCAACTTACCATGTTTGTGGTTCAATTTTAATATACATCAACTAGTACTTTTCACTGCTAGTGTTACTGTGATTTCCGCTAGAGGCTTTCAGTGATGTGAAGACTGTGCTTCAGTTTTAAAATTTCACTTGGAATGCTCTAATTGCTGCTTTCTAGGAACAATTGGCTTGTTTATGAAGTAATTTAGATATAAGAATACTTTTTTTTTTTTGCTTTTAGGTAGTAAATTTCTATTTCAAAATAATGAGGAATGTACTAAAATAACACTCATTTTCATTGCCATGTATGTTGGTAGCAAAAAAGACATCTGAGTCAGATTTATTTAAAATATGATAATTAGCTTACTTCCTGGCATAGCAAATAATTTTGTAAAGGTTGGAATAACTGAAATGAATCTGTGATATTTTCAAATATAGTTTTTATAACAAGTGATTTTTTTTGCCCTGTCTTACACTATTGCTGTGTCTATAATTCTTGTGTTTAGTTCAAAATAAAGTTTCAATGTTACTGAATCTTAGTTGATTATTTGATTCTTAAATAATTTCCTAATAGAACTGTTTCAGGTTATGTTTCTTTAAAGTTGGTGTCTTTTTCTGCTGCTTGAATGGACTTTGGAACAGAAACTAGAAAAGCCAAACATGCAAGCAAGCAAAATTCTAAAAGCAAAGTTATTAAGAGCATAGGCAGAGCAGCAAGTTAATGTGATGGAAAACTTCTACCTGGAGACATAAGAATGAATAATTTAATTTTTCTGAAAACTTTTTTTGTTGATTTTTATTTTTAAATGATTCTATATAATTAAAACAACACTTTAAATGTAATTAAAGTGGGAAGCAATTTTTAAATCCTTATTTTTTTAAAAAACTTTTGGTTTCGTATTTATGCATTTTCTCAGGTAATATCAGTGGCCCTGTTAAACGCAGGAGGGCCAAAACCACGGGTTTTTTTGCCAGTTGAAGATTATATCCTGATATTACAACCACAGTCTTTAGTAGGGTCTTCTATGTATTAGAAAGTTGCACTCACTGAATTTGGTATGTGATTTAGATTTTTTAATAATTTTATTAAAGCAAGGTAGATAGTTCTTCTTCAATAATTTCAGTTTTAACTAAATTTTTGAATCAGGGCACAAACAAGGATTTGCATTTTTTTAACATAAATGAAAAGAATATGTTTCCTCTCTATGGATGTAATGAAAGCTATATAGTGCAACAACCGAGTCATTTCTGAGGACTGTGGAAAACTTAAAAATACTCAGTTACTTATTCAGAGATGGCATTCCATTTTTCTTATCAATTTCACTTACTCAGTATGATACTGAGGGCAACTGGATTGTAGCTTGTTTTGTAATGTCACTGTAAAGAACTGGATTAACAGGACAGTTTATGTAGAATATTGGTCTGTCCACTGAGCTTCAATTCTTAAATTAGTGCTGAACATTGAACACATTAAAATACGATTTAGAAATGGGAAGTATGTTATACAGCAAGAGGTGATTATTTGGTTCCATTGTTCCAGTGTCACAGAGACTGAACATTTCATTGAAATTACGTGCTAGTGAAATGCTCTTGCCGCAGAAACCAGGTACTTTTTGTGTTTTTACTGTCAGCCTGTTTTCAGCTTTGTTGAAGTATTGCCGAAGAAAGAATATGTTAAGTTGTCTCAGTACTATAGTATTTATAATGGTAAGATAGCAGATATTTTGGGGGGTATAGTGCAAGAATACAGGTTATACAGCTACAACAGAAATCTGTATTATGCTGAAAGCTAAGTAGTTAATATGAAACAAATTACTGTGGAATCAAAATACCTGAAAGTGGCCAGTTTATTTCTGGTTTACTTCTTTCTGAGTATAGTTCATTTTCTGATAGCCTCAATATGTTTTGTTTGTTATAAGCAAAATTATGGATGTGATTTATTATTATTATTTCATTCTCTACTTCTAGTGTCTTAATGAGATCCTGGAGTCTGCAGACGCACCTCTGGAAGTCACAGATGGATTTATCCAATCAATTTCTTTATCTGTTCCGTGGGGGTCGTTGCTACAGGATAACTGTGCATTAGAAGTAAAAGGATTAGAGATGGTCTTCAGGCCAAGACCAAGGCTTGGTAGGCTTATTTTTTCATTTTCAAAAAGGAGATTCTTCACAGTTTTTCGGAGGCAAAAGGCTACGCTTGCTTCAGTCAGTTCTTAGCCTTATTTGAAGTGCCATTTAATTTACATACACTGATGATAAAGGATGTAATAAAAAAAGAAACTGTCAGCTGTTCGTCAGTTGGTTTTGAAGTGTTTTGCAGTTGGTGGTTGTTCTGTTAAACAACTTGAAATGTTTATAAGGTTCCTACTGTTGTATCTCTTCTTCCAAACTGAGACCTATTGAAATGAAAATGATACTGTGTGGAAAGGAATTTTTGTTAGCTAGGTTTTTTGGGTGTTGTATGCCAAGTGGGGTTAGTCAGCATTAGTAGCTGGCTATTAGGTGGTAGTAGGATAGCACAATAGTGTAAGACTGTGAGGGGTTACACTGAGGTTCTGGCTTGCTTTGGCAACTTTAGGGTAAAAGCTGCTTCTTCTTGTATATTTGGTAAATAACTACTACAATATAATGCTATCACAGTCTGAAATAATGACTTTTAAGTACTCTAAATACTTACTACCTTTGGTTATAATACTGAGAGGATTGTCTGAGCTCTTCTAGCTTGTCTGTATCCATATGAATCTTAACTGATCTAGTTTAGACTGTCCTGGTGATAAATTTTTACTGACTATCAAACCTCCATAAATTCTGCTAAGGTGTGTTGTTATATCATGTGAGGGACATTTGGTGCATTTTTAGTGCATGGAAAATTTTGTTTGAATGTCTTAAGGATTTTAATTTGTTTTCCTTTTTATAGTGTAGAGAAGATGTAAGAAAATATTTCTTTAAATGCATCATAAAGAAAAGAAAATGCATGAACCCTATTTTGCACCTTTTGCAAGTTACATGAAGTAATTTGCTTACATACACTGTGTATTTCATACTTGTTTAATTGGAACTAAACTTTGAGCTGTCTTACTTTCTGATGTAAGGTTATTGCTTTGAAAGAATGGTAGTATTAGGAGGAAGCTTCATTTATTTACCTGTATCCTTTTAGTTCCCTTTGATGCACAGTGCTTTATAATACAGTAGGAAAACCACCA